CTTCCTGGAGCTATTGCATGAGTGCAGAGTTTCTCCGGCTTCTAGATGCTGTATATCTCAATTAAGTGAAATTGTTTAACTAACCTCTCTCCATATTATAAATAGGAAAAACGCACACATGTATCCCTTCCCACCATATGTACCAACCTCTTTCATAGCAGCAGAAGAGCCTCCAAACTCCACCTGGTGTCCACTGTCATTTTGCAGAGTTCGTGGTTTCATCTAAATATACATGTATGCTACGTGGAATGTGTTTCTGTTCGATTCAATTGCACACCATCACAATGATACCCGCTCCATAATATTTGTAGCTCGACTGTCAAGAGGTGCAAGTGAATTGAATGGGTGATCAGTACTGTCTTTACTCATTGATATCTTGTACTTGAGCATTATTTAGTTGCTTGTCCATGCCCCTTCTGTACATACATAGTCGATATAGTCGTACCAATCTGACTTAAATTGTAAATTTGTAGATTCCAGCCCTTTTCTCAAGTACCTGTCGTATTATAATGTTTATTGCACATCTTACTGAATCTGATATTGAATTTTTCAGTTCTAACAGACTCTTCAACAGATTAGTTGACAATGAAATGATATTTTTCTCACTTTGTAATTTCCCATTGTTCTGCCTTCGCCTCAGATTGCAACTGTTTCCACGTGGTATCATACAGAGGGCATCTTTTACGGCATGTAATATTTTCTTTCTTGAGAAACAAACCTTCCACAACCCTGTTGTCTCGACTTTCACCATTTTTGGCCAATTTTCATTGTTTTTAGGTGAGGTGTTCTTAAAATACGATAGACATATTTTCAGCATGCTATTCATAATCAGCTTACGATGATACTGCAAGGAAGTCTAAGAAAAAAAAATTCACATGGATGTTCTCATCAGTGTCCTATTGACTAGAAACAGAAAAAGAAAAGTTGCAATTTGGCTTGGTAACTTAAAGCTTCTACATTTGTTTGCAGTCATTACAAGATGGATATCCCAGCTTAAGTAATCCAGGCTTGTATAGAGACTCTCTTTGCTTTAAAATTATTTTAATCATGTAATCATGATCTTTCTCATCTTTTTAAAGTTGTGTTAATATGCATTTTCTTGTATTGCATACTCTCTTTGTTCTCTGCATGTTAACAATGTTCGAATATAACCATAGAAATTCGTCGGAAAATGAGAGATGTCCACAAAATCACAATTGTGCTATCATTGCCCATTACTTTAGTTTCGTCCATCATCATGAGACTCAGACTCTGCTTATTGCATCTGTGCTTCATTCTTCCTTGAATTAGTGTGTTTGCTCTTGTTATATTGAAAAAGAAAGCTTCCCCTTGTCCCGAAAGTATGTTGAAAAAGAAGAACTCTTTTATGCCTGTTTACCGTAGCAATACTTAGGGCTCTCCATTGTAAGAAGGTAACTTTGTAAGGATTAATGCACATGCATAACTGAATTTATATTTGTTTAACTATTAATTGTGAAAAAAAACAATCTACTTCATAGCTAAGACATGGGAGTGATCCAACTGCAATAATTAACAAACGACTGTGAGTTCATGAATCACTTTTCTTACTTTGATCAGATAAACATTGGCTATTGGTTGCTGATGGAAGAAGGCGAGAGGTATGACGAACAACTTTTATGCTTTATCTACAACAATGATTTGTAGCAACTTAATTTTATAATCTGGCATTGTAGGTGTAGCTTTTTTTTTTTTTTTTAATCTTGCTTTTTATTATTTCATCTCTTCACCTTATAATTGGGAATGCTTTTACTTTAGAGTTGAGAAAAAGGTGCAACTCTCCACAAAAATTTCAGCTATTAGTGGATGCTATATAGATGGACTTTTATTCCACGTGCTATTGCCCCTCAAGAGGTGAACTGCTTAATGTGCATCTGTTAATAGCTAGTCTTGCATCGTGAATAAAAGAAATTGGAGTCTGTCAAAGCAAATTTTCCCGTTGTTTTCAAAAATAATCATAGAAGTGATAAAAAGAGTTGTCGCTCATATTAGCATTAGTTTCTTCATTTTGGGATGTGATCGACTTGTATTCCTACTTCCTTCCAATCAGATTTCGTGAAGAAAAACTGTGATTTAACTAGGCGATCGAGATAGCCTAGCTAATTGATAGGAAGAGTATATTAACGGAGACAAATTGGTAACTTTAGACTCTCTTTCACTTCGTTGGTTAGTAAATTTGTTCAATTTTTTCCAGTAAAATGTGAAAGCAAATGGACATTTGGGATTTTGCATGTCTCAAAGCCACGATGCTCTGACGTGGGAAAAGCAATTCGATTTCTACATGAGGTGCATTCCTATTGATTAATCTCTTCTCCTTCTATTTCCAGTAAGAATTTCACGTGCTATTTTTTTTCCCCCTTAATGGTTTTTCTCATGAACATTTTTTTATCTTCATGTTTGTGGAGTTTGCCAAAGCAATATTGCCTTTATAGTTAAATAGTGGCTTTGGTCTTATATATTTAAATTAATTTCGAACATTATCTAGATAAAAAGGCGCCTTGTTTGAATGGTTATCATCACCAATATTGCCACTAAAATGTTTCTTCAACTAGGCAATCATAGCTAAACACGAAGAATCGTTCTGTCTCAATTAGTTAATATGTCGCGTATATTTTGAAAGGATTAAATAATAAAGGAGGCAGTTTATTTAGTTTCACACTCTATTTTTATAATTTTTACTTGCCCCTTCGTACTATGCAAATGGGAGAAAATGTGATTAGGGACTTCGAATGCTTATTAAACACTCTCTTAACCAGAGCCAATTACTTAAGCAAATATATAGCAGCTACCCATATTAATTAGATTGACTTCACTTCTTTATTCTTGAGCTAAAAATATCTTTTGATACGAGTCTTTTTTATATATATTTTATATAGTTCAGTTTCTTTCCGAAATGGATTGATCAACCTCTTTCATAAAATTTGAATATTGTTAAGGAGCTCGTATTAATCCTATAGTACACATCATGATATTATTTGGTTATGTTGAACTTGAAGAGCACAAATCATATTAATTTTCTTATTTAGTTGCTTAGGTTAAGGTCATAATAATCAAACCAAAAGGAATTATGGGGAACATTCAAACCCACATAGTTGAATTATAAAAGGATTAAACCTTGTCCACACTTTGTAATATAAAATCCCAAACAACTTCGATGACAATGATCATAATCAAATTATATTACACCATGTACGTCGGCAATTAGGACTTGGCTGCTCTTCTTGTAGTTCAAATGCTAATATATGATACAAAAATTAATAATGTTGTAAGTTTACTATTATAGGTGAAGTTTTATGACCACGCGAAATTCAGTGACATAAAAAATGGCAATGGAACTAGAGTTGTAGGGGTTGAAATACCATTAGTAGTGAGCATTGAGACGTTGCCTCCAACTTCCTTACTCTTGTCCAGTTAATATCTCACTGCAAAAAATAAAACAAAACAAAAAAATATTATTATTATTATTGTTGTTGTTGTTATTATATTATTATTGTAACACCATAGTAATAATGTGACCTGATATTACAGTATTAAAACTATTAATGACTGAGCATGGACGGTGCCTTGTTAGGACATAAGTAAGCATTTTGGATCTACGTACGTACCAAGAAAATCATAGCTTTTTGGGTTTGTTTATAATATACTTCCTTCGGTCCTATATTAGATAAACATTTCAATAAACTTATTAAATCATAATAAAATTGATTATATTCTTTCTCATGTTACCCGTACAATTAATATTGTTTCTTTTTGAACGTGAACAATTCTCAATACTAGCTATTCCTATACTCTATGTATATTTTCTAATTTATTTTTATGCACATTAAAATAAACAAAGAACAAAATAAAATAATTAATCAATTTATTAATGATTTTTGAACCACGGTGTAAAATAGTGCCTACCCTTGGACTGAGGGATACACACCGCCTTGAGAAATTAAGATATAATGTAAAAAGTATGATGAAGCACATATTGTACGCATAAAATGAAAAAAAAAACAAATTTACGCAGCAAAATGGAGGTATCTCTTTTCCCTTAATTTTCGTTATATTTCTTGGATTTGTCTCATTAGATTACCACTTAAAATAGAAATTAAGCTAAAGATATGGATGAACGACACACAAAAGCAATTATTTAATTTAGTAATGCATTATCTACGGAACATAAAATTTGTATGTTGAAACTTGAGGACTTTATGAAGTGGGCATAGCTCTTTTTATCTCTTCATGTTATATTATATCTAAAGATCAAATTGGGAATTAATGCTTGCTTTAGATTTGAGAGAAAGTGATTAATTTCCAATTAGAATTTCTGATCATACCGTGTATATATTTTTTCTTCCCTTATTGGGGATATGATCATACCCTTTTAGTCTAGCGGCTTGTACATGACACTTGAATTTTTTATCCACATGCATGGTGATGGAGTGATCTGTCAAAGCAAATTTGACTTTGTTGTTAATGACTTTTTCTCTTCTTTTTTGTAATGGCTGATGATTTGAAGTTGAAAATTTGAATGATAAATAAGGTGATTGCTTTGGTTTGTGTATAGTAAAGTTACTCATGGCCTGTGATATGAGCAAATCTTACTCATGGCCACGAATGTCTGATTAGGCCAAAAAAGCAATTCAGCCTTCCACATGGGCTGCACTCTCACATTCGTTTTTCATTCCACGTAACAGTACACTTCTTTTAACTTTTTAAACTACACAAATAAATGTTTAAATTAAAGAAACTTGAATAAAATAGATATATATGTAGTGTTATAAGTAATATAAGATGTATATATCCTAGTTGTTCAACTTTATATAAATTCAAGTATTTACTTGCACAGACTCATAATTGGAACACAAAAATACCATATTATCAAGTTAAATAACACGTTGAAGTGTAAAATATCCGGTGGTATATTACACTATTAACATATGCGCATTCAGACTTCAAGGGTTTCTCCATTCAACTGCTTATGGTGTGTCCCTCAATTATATAAAGATAAAAGGTTATTACTATTACTAAAATTACAGTGGTCAATTTAGGCCCTCCAAAAAATAATGTCAAGTTATGCACATAAAAACTCTTGAGATTGTCAACATCAGTAAGGGCATTACTTGACAAATAAAAATGATCGAAGCCTCATGCCGCTAAAACTTGTCTACACTTGAAATATTATTTATTTACAAAACCTGCTAAAATATAATCTCAACCAACCCTCTTTAATTAGTTCACTTGTTGTTTTCTTTTTTCCCCCATAGTGCTCTCTCTTCATGCAGCCTTTTTAATCAAAAAAACAAGAAAACAGAGATTCCCACGCCACATGGATACCAATTCTTGAAAGTGTCCAAAAAATTGGCCGACTTTGGTCAATTGAGCTCACATGGTATATTTTCTGCTTGACCGCAACAATAACTTTTGAGGCCAAAAAACTGTCGAGGGCTTGACCCACTTCAATTCTTATAGATCAAAAATATAACTGCTAAAATGGAGATCATCAAGCTTGGTAATGGACCATAGGCTAAAACGCCACTGCTACTGATCAATGAAACGTTACTGCCACCACCAGTGTATTGTCCTCCAGATGATTTCTGACTGCAAAATCATTATATATTATGGAATTAATATTTTTTTAAGGTGACATAGTATAACATGGACGGTGCCTCGATTTGTTAGGGACATAATGAATCTACCTAACATGAAAACCATATAGATAATTTTTTAAAAATAGATAGGACACAACAAACCGACTATTAGGAAGAAAAGGCTTATGTATGGTACACAACGCACATGGGTCCCCAATTAATACCCCACCATACTCTCAACTTAAGGTTTGCTTCAAATGAAACCAACAATATAATCCTTTTTTGGTGTGACCCATTATAAGATTATCAAAAGGTAAATGCTCCCATTTCCTATATCCATGAAACGTTTGCAACCCATGTTAATTGTTCAATAAATGTCCACCTAAAAAAGCTCTTCTAATTTGCATGCATACTACTACATCTTTGACTCCTTGTTATAATTGATTAAACTGTACTGTAAAAATGTTAATATCAATAGTTAATTAAATGTTAACATCCTATGTTTATTGCGTATAAACTAATTAAATTTCATGATCAAATAATTTTTTTAAAATTTAACCCAAGGGTATATGAATGTACCTAGTTGAAGGAGCAGGACAGAATGTGATGACATAATCTGCAGAAGCACAAGTGAAGGTGCTGGTTCCATCATCATACGCATAGCTGTATGCGCGCGGGCATGAATTCTTGAAGAATTCTGAGTAATCAGTTGGCTTGCATGTATCAGGCGTAGCATAGGCCCCACTACAACAATATCTTGGATCCCCAAACGCTTCACACGCGCTTTTGCACGCCACGCACTCATCGGCACCTCCGCCACTGCCGGTACTCACAAGCTTTAGCTCCGACGGACATGGCCCGTTCAGATCAACCACACACCCAGTTGCAGAACAGTTTCCGGAACCGGTTCCACCTTGTGGGGTTATTAACATGGGCAAGTTATAACCATCCACTAAACTAACGTCGTAGAAGTCAAGCCCATCGGCTCCGTTGAGTGTGAACTCCGCTAAAGTCGCCGGCGGAGCAGCTCCGCCGGTGCACTCTAATGTTCCGGAGCCGCAATCACCTGTTACGCAAGTGAATTTACCCGTTGCCGAATCTTGGGAGCAAAAAGACCGACCCCATAAACGACCTGACCAACCCGCCGGAACAGAAACGGGAATGGCCTGTCCTGGATTCAGCTGAAATCCAGTAGGAGAAACCGGGGATGTTCCAGCCCCAGATAATATCCCCGGCCATACTGTATAACTGCACTGGTTTACTAATGTAAATGTTGCTGATGACACCCCTGTTTTGTTTTTTTTTTCCAAAAAAATTAACAAAAATGAATACGGCAATACTTCAAACTAAACAACAACAAGTATCAAGCAGAACCAAAGTCTTACCTGAAATTAGGAATACGAAACATAAAGCAAGGAGGGGGAGAAGGAAAACTTGAGCTTTCTCCATTGTATTTTATTTGAAGAGAATTGTTTTGGCAATGTGGAGAAGTAGTAAAATGTTGAATCTAAGTTTTTAAATGTCAGATATTTATTTATAGGGAAAACTTAGAACCGACGTTAAAGGGGAAGACAACCAACACCGCCAGAGTGTGGTCGGCTCCGCTGAAAATGGGTTGTAATAAATTAAGAGAAGAGGGGTAATTAGTAAAAATATTTGTAGTAAGGAGGATGTGTATTGAAGGAGGATTTAAATAGAATGGTAATTAGAGACTTTAAAGAGAAATAAGAGGAGGAGGGACTTTTGGGTATGGGGAAGGTCGGGAGGGAGTTTAATGACGGCTAAAACCAACGGCCCTATGGGCCTTCGAAAGATAGGTATGGGACCCATCATTATGAAACAGAACATCAGCCGCAAAGATTCATATCGTTTTTTTATTCTTCTGATTTTAAGAAAATATAGTATGTTATAACTAGACCAGAATTGCTATGTTACATTAAATAATATTTGGAATTTAGATTTAATCTTTCTTTTATCTTAAATTTGATATTTAAAAATTTGAAATGAAAAAAACAAACAAACTGAATCGAAAGAAGTAGACTAGTATTATTTCTAATATGTTTTCTGTAATTACGTCACAAAGATCAAAATCGAAATGGACAAGAGTTTGATAGTTCATACTCTCTTCAATCTAAAAATATGTTACTACACTATTTCAATTATAGAAGTTTAAAAAAAATGAGGTGGGGGATTTTAAAAACATGCATACTTAAAATTATGGTTGTTATATATTACCTAAAATGAGCAAAAACTGGAAAAACAGATTACATAGGCCAAAGATAGAAATCAATAAAATATATATATATATATATATATATATATATATATATATATATATATATATATATATATATATATATATATATATATATATATATAAACTAAGATCTTTTCACTGTAGCCCAAAAAAATTGAAAAAGGAAAAGCAAAGTGGACGCTTATATCGTCTACTATAAGCAGGCGTTAACTAGTTGAAAGCTGTAATTGTTTATGAAAAAGTATTGAAAGAGCACATGTGATTCTGATTCCTCCTCCTGCAAGTATGGGTTAACTTTTGGGTACGATGCAAAGCAAAAGAAGACACAATACTGGTCGAACTAGTATTTCCAAAGGGAATAATCACTACAAACCATTCAATCAAAAGTTTTACCATTGTTCATTAAGCAATGGCAAAACCATATACTGTTGCAGTCAATGATTCTATTGGGGATAAAAAAAAGTGAAAATAAACCAATACAACACATTATGTTTTAGTAGGTTTTTAATGTGGAATGCCTTGATTAAACCCAAGTTACATATTAACTTTACAGTAAAAAATAATGTTCCACACATATAGTCAAACATTAACACAGAGACATAAGAGCTTACGCTTCACCTCCCTTCTAGTTTTTGAATCTAGAGGAAAAACAAACACAGGGAAGAAAAGCCCTTTGGTTAAGCACCATACTATCTCAAATCACTCGTAATATAAATCAGTCCAATTATTAACTCAATTCTATACTTCCTGGGAGAACTTGAACAGTAAATGAATTCAAACACTACCGTTTAAATGTCTAGGATAGTAGACACTTCACCACTAGCCCAAATTTGACCCTGGCCAGGAAGAATTTCAAGGATAGATGCACTAAACAAAACTAAGATGAAGAATCAAGGATTCAAAGTCATCAGTTACCTTCTCCACAAGGAAGAAAACTTGGTTTAAAAACTTCACAGGAAAGGATTACAAAGGAGAAGCAAGCTGAGAGGCATGGGGGAGTTCAGCCGGAACAACAAGGCTAATTCTCATTTCCTCAAAATAGTGATTAGATTCAACACTTGGCAAATTCTAGATTCAACACTTGGCAGTAGACCCAACTTCAGCTAGCTATTTATCTTAAGCGAAGTTCCAAAACTTTGTTTGAAGAAAACAGATCGGTTCTAGGATTAGATAATTTCTAACTTCCACTATTTCGCACTTCAACTGTTCAATAGTGAATCCAAATTGCATCTTCACACAGAATCCATAAAGGCTAGACTAGTGGATCTTCCCATGTCAACCATCTATTACCAGAAAATGTCATAAATCATAATCATTCCACGACCAAAGCCACAAAGGGGCAGACAGAACTAGAACAGCCTACAAAAAGTGCAGTCTGTAAAATCCTTCAAGGACAACATGATAGACCAAAGCCACAAAGGGGCAGACAGAACTAGAACAGCCTACAAAAAGTGCAGTCTGTAAAATCCTTCAAGGACAACATGATAGACCAAAGCCACAAAGGGGCAGACAGAACTAGAACAGCCTACAAAAAGTGCAGTCTGTAAAATCCTTCAAGGACAACATGATAGACCAAAGCCACAAAGGGGCAGACAGAACTAGAACAGCCTACAAAAAGTGCAGTCTGTAAAATCCTTCAAGGACAACATGATAGACCGAGCACAGCTCTGCCCTCAAGAAGTGATTAAATTAACTCAAATCCTGAGCCCTAATCCCTTCTTATCTCAAACAAAACTACTGGCTTCACCGCTTCATGCATCAATAGCCAAAGGGCATGAAGATTCCTTACACTAAAGAACATCATTAAGTTCTATGTTTAGTCCCTGAACCACACAAACCCTTCCCATATAATTTTAGCAAGATGTGCAAAAGTAAAATAAAGCAAACAGACCTAAATAAGCCAATTGACAAAGAAAGAGAGATTATTTCTGTGAACTTTGACTCATGATTCTGATAATATGACCACAGAGTTCTGGCACCAAGCTACTACAGAATTTGAAAGACCAGAATATTCAACAAAAGGACATTGTGGAACCACAAGTCTCTCTCACATGATCAATAAAATTATTAAAAAGAAAAAAATGGTTCTATTTCAATCAACTATACTACAATTATTCAATCCCATGCTAGTTAAGATCAAATGTTATTTCAAAACTAAACATTTGCAAAAATATATTCTCAGCTAATTCTGAAAAATTGAATACTTCATTTGACACCAACTAACTAACGCACCTGGTGCACGAAATGTCTGACATTGAAAGGTCTGTCATCCATGAAATGGACGTATCCCAAGGAGATATAATGTGGATAACCTACCTTGATGCAAGCATGAGTGGTTGATTCTAGGGCTCAAACCAGTAACATATATAGGTCACATTGAGACAACTCGCTGCTACTATGCGATGCAAGCATAAGTGACTCTCACTATCACTAGAGCAAATCTTCTCTACCACATCTCTCACGTCGCCAAACAGTAATTCAAAGTGTTGTTTGAATATATTATTCATCCTTCCATTTCAGTTGTTTTACATGTTTATTTGTCCAGTATTCCAACTTTTTTCAAAAGTAAGATGGCAATAACATTAGCTGGTGATAATTGTCAGTGTAAAAAAAAGGGAACTACAAGGGATGTGAAGAGAGATTTGGACTCTATGACATTTTTTTATTTGATATAAAATCTAACGGAAAAAAACAAATTTTAGAAAGAATCATAACTTCAATAAGAACAGAACAGTCAGCTTAGGACACTTAGCTAGATTACTTGTTTGAAGACAACTCTTTCCATAAACGACAACTCTTATTATAAAAGGAAAAGATCACAAGCACTATTTGCTGGTTTGGAAATTAAACCAGTGTTCAGATACGGAATGTGGTGGGATATGTCTAATCGGCAATTAAAAGAATTTCCGATTGACATCTAAATGAAAACACTAGGTTGAATATTTGATTACTAGTAGGGGTAAGGATCGGTACAAACCACCCTCCCAGACCTATTGGCTGTGTTGTTGTTGTTCAAAATGAACAACAAAGCAGCATATTCTCGACAAACAAACAAGACAATTACAAGTATAAGCACAAGCAGAGATGACAAAGATTCCAAACAGAGGGCAATATTGTAGGACAAGCTTGGCCTTGGTGTATCAGGGTTACAACTGAGTCACCTAACTTAATCAGCATCGTGTGAATTCTCATGTTTTCCCCATGAAGCACAATTATATGTGTGTATTGTATACGGTATCATAATATAAGCATAAAAGATGTGCTTAAAGTGCAAGAATCGAACCTTCAGCCTTTTTATATACTTGTATATAAATCATTAACTAAAACTTTGCATCCCAAGAACATGAATTCAAACAGCTCGGTAGAGCTACTCCGAAAGCACAACCGGTCATATAGCTAATCAAAGAAAAACTGGAAAAACATGTCACTGCTAAGAAAATGAGTACTAAGAGGGTGTAGGGAATAAAGAGAAAGATCATTTACATGATCAGTTCACGGATTGGCTAGTGCATTCTCTAGCAAAGTGGCCCGCCTCTCCACAGTTGTAACACTTGCTTCCTCCACTACCACCCCCAGATCTCCCAAAATTACTACCACCACCACCGGGACAGTCTCTAGCCAAGTGTCCTTGTGCACCGCATGAATAACAAGCCCCACTACCTCCTCCACCACGGCCGCCAACACGTCCAGCACTCGGGCAATCTCGAGCCATATGGCCATACCCACCGCAAGTGTAACAGACACCACCACTTGCTCCTCCTCCTCCACCACCACCACCACTACTACGGTCACAATCCCTAGCTAAATGTCCAGCAGCACCACAGTTATAACACCCGCCTCTGCCACCTCCTCCACCTCCACTGTTGCGATCACAGTCCCTAGCCAAATGTCCCGTCCTTCCACAGTTATAACACTCACCGGCGCTACGATACCCACCATCATTGCCGTTCCTCCGATAACCACCATCATCACCACCATAACCGTAACCCCCACCCCCACGACTGTTACTATTTCCCCTGCCATTGCGGCCACTATCGAGAGGAGCGCCATCGGGCCCAGTGACATCAATAGCCTGGTACTTATCTCCCTTCACAGTCATGGTGAACTCCACTTTCTGGCCTTCGTAGAGAGAACGGTAGCCATCAGATTTGATCTCTGATTGATGAACGAACAGATCTTCGGATCCATCATCAGGTTTGATGAAACCGTAACCCTTTGGGTTACTGAACTTAGAAACTGTTCCTGTCATTCTGGATGCCTCCACCGCCATTCCTAACCAATCTATTGATCGGAACTCCGCAAAACCCTTGAGAATGTTCTAATTCTATGACAGATATTTTATTTTTTTATTAAAGAGAAGTCTAGGGGAACCCTAAATACGGTTTCTGCGTCTAAAACCGTTTTAAAAGGCGGCGTTAGCGCTTTTCGGCTAGGTTTGGATCTAAGTTTGTTATAAATTTCTCTAATGTTTTTTATTTACTTTTTATTTCGTGATAGGAGTAGTTGTATTATTTATTTTTTTTCATAATGTAAAAATTTGAATCTCTGAAAATTTCAATAGACTGAATCACTATGATTTTTGTACGTGCTAAAAAGTTAAAAAGAGCTACCTAACTTTGGAAATGTATACCCTATAATTTGTTTATATTGTACTAATTGATAACCAAATATCATTATATTTTGTTCTGTAGATGTTGATAAATACAGCTGTATAAAAGATGGCAAATGTTTTAAATAATGGCAATTTGCTTCACAGTCCTTTACTGTTTGAATAAAAGGAAAACCACATTGTAAAGATTTTGGTGTATCTTTTACGTGTAAAAATAAATATCTTAATATAATAAACATAAATTATAAATTC